AGTTTTCGGGGTAGGTAAACGTTCCTTCGCAGAATCTTACAGATAATGATTTTTGATACAGGTCTTCAACGTTGGATGAAGATACTTGCTTTCGAGCTTTAAGGTCACTGTATCGTCTTTGGGCTTGCGTCCATTCAGATGAAGTCGGAGCCGGTCTAGAAATGTATATCGAGCAAACTCCTCCTGATCATGCTCGAGAAACCTTTATCCGAATCGTTCATCGGCTTATCCTACTTTTGTATGTTCAGTTTCTATATTATACTCTTACTTTCAGGTATGTCGCTAATCGAAATTGTAGAAGTCGCGCTCCAGAGTCTGATCCATTTTTCATGCTCTGTCCTAAAAACTGTCTATCGAGTGAGAGCTGTCCGCTTAACCTAGACGCTGTTGTACATTTCATTCACCGCTTGATGAGAGTTTCAAGGTATAATGAGACTCTCCGTCACTGGCTGATTGACGGGGACATTGTTAGACTCTTGGACTCCACGGCGACACGTTTACTCTCTGGCGGGACATTGAAATGGAATGATGATACAGCTGACCCGAGGATCCTTCGTACACAACTGGAGGTCCTCGTTATCGGGCTCTCGTGCTTTCGCTAGCCTGGCGCTTGTTCCAAGATGACTTTAATGCCTCCAAATCCCAGACTGCATCCACAATAAACTTTTTCTCTCAAGGCCTGAGCCGAGCTGGGATGAACTTCTTTTTCCTTCAGACCATCCACGATGGCTGGGCGGAGACTCAGCTACCTGCTTCTGTATTTCAGACAATGGAGCAAACACACAGAGATCGTGTATATTCTTGGATAGAATCATAGGAAGAGTTCTGTGAGACACGTTGCACAAAGGAGCATATACTGTAGGTACATATGCGATATGTAAAGTCTTGTGTATATTAGTGGATTAATATGGCAATAATAGTGGGTAAAAATTATCTCTCAGTACACCACTCTTTTAGAATACACTGTTTTCCCCAACCTAATTGATGTCTCAAGCACACCACCCCTTACTCCTATGGGTACATGCTACCCCTTCATAACCTATATACAACTGCACCCTATGTTTGATCTCAGTGCATGTCATGTACTCCCAACATATATTGAATCATAACCTACATCTAAGCTCAGTACATGTACTGAATGCAGCCTATGTTCAGTGCCAATTGATGTTTGAACTCAGTGCATGCAATGTATTCACAACCTATCTTGAATCATAACCCAATGCAAGCTATGTTCAACCCCAATCCATGTTTGAACTCAATGCATGCCATGTATTCACAGTGTATGTTGAATCATAACCTATGTTCAATCTCAGTGCATGCTGAGCTTATTTCAAGGCACTGCATTTCCTGTGATGTATAATCCAAGGTAAACTTGGGGTATTCATTATAATATATCAGCAAAACCTGGGAGATGATTATAGGAGCAATAGCAAGCCATAGCAGGTCATAGCAGCCATAGTCCTGCCCATAGCAGCCTGCTATGGGTTCCAACGTCCTATGGCTTGCTATGAGCTTCTACGGGATCACAAAGCTGTCAACCCATTTTGGCATCTTATTATCTCAGTGTCACCGCTTGACAGCTGTTGTTTTCTCCCACCAACACTACATAATGCATCATTGTAAATTAGACTTTGACAAGCTCTGTTTTTTCCCCCCCAAGTCAATCCTGAGCCACTTTGGTTTGGACTATGGTAAGTAGTTACATTTAAGCAATGTCTCTGACAGTGTGAGGATCACCACCTACAGAACCAGGCAATGTGTGATGATTTGTGACGTTTTGGATTGTAGCATCTGTCTGTTGAAAGATACACTCGCAATCATGGACACATGATCAGGTACTTTGTACCGTGATATTCAACATTGGCTTACCAATCACCAGAATCACATTCCTATGTATTGATATCATTTGATTAATGTCATTCGCTATTTACGTACATGTGGTTATAGCTAGGATATCAACTGCTGATGTATATACATACATCACATTGTAGGGACCATTGTCCACATGGACACTTACCAATACTGTACCTATTATTAGATTTAGGGTACTGTACAGTTTTACAGACATTTAGTATATAAGCTGTAGTAGTTTACTTGTAGTCCCCATTGCTCTGCATAACTACTGCTTCACTGTCTCATCTGACAATACTAAGCTCTCTCAAAACTGTGTCATCTCTCAAGCTCTACACTTGGTTAGTAATGTGATTTCACTATTTGGTCTCACTTGCTGTTCAACAGGTTATGGGCCCCAAGTCTGTTTGACGAAGGTCTTACAACCATTGCAACTTTGTCAAATGGTTGATCGCATTAACAAACAATTCTGGTCACTCTTAACCGAGTGTATTAGAAAGTTCAAGCTTGTGGTGCATTGGTTTGGTAGCAAGGTAAAAACTTGTGATCGCTTTCCTTTCCTCTTCCAAGAAGAATGCCGAAAATATAAGCTTCTTCTGTTCAGGCTAATTATATATATTGTATATACACATTGACAATCTCCAATTTCTTGGAGATCTCATTCACAGAGTTGCTGGACAGCAACTTGGTTCATCCAGTCCCTTTTTGAGGGTCTGGCTATGCCAAATTGTAATTTGGACAGTGGGTCTTTACCACCATCTAAACATTTGTCAATGGCATAACCATCAATATTAAATTCAATTCCCTGGTCAGGGAATTGTGAATCTCCAATTTCTTGGAGATCTTGTTCATGGAATTGCTGGACAGTGACTCGGTCCATCCAGTCCCTTTTCAAGGGCCTGGCTGTGCCAAAATGTGAATTTACAGTGGTGCTGTGTACCACTGTCAATTTGGAAGGCATGACCTTCCAAGGGATGAACCTCACCTCTTGAATTGATCCGGGGTGTGGATTGATGCAAGGGGGAGGAGCAGGAGCAGGAAGAGTGTGAGACCCTGTGCACAAAATGGATCTTGAACCAATGTATCCCAAATGTCTTGCACCTAGATGTAAGTGGAGACCAAACATGACCACCCAGGGTAACCATGCTGTAAGGTGGGTCTGGACAGTAGTACAAGTGTTGTACAAAACAGCATGAGCCTTGGAGATGCTAGGAGCAGTGTATGGGCCACCCGATGACATAATCAGGAGGAATTGGGTGGTATTGTGGTCCAACAGCCAGAAGTGAGTGGAAGTGGATGGAATATTGATGAAGCCTGGGCGGTCCAAAAGGTGTAATATGTCCAAATATGGATAATGCAGGTGGAGTACAGTGAATGCGGATGGAAATAGGGTGGAGGTAGGTGGAATAGGGTGGGAGCAGACGGAAATAGGGTGGGAGTGGACGGGAATAGGGTGGGAGCGGACGGAATAGGGTGGGAGTGGATGGAATAGGGTGAAAGCGGACAGTGCCAGAGGTTCTACAGGTAGCAAAACCCAAATGGGAAGCTCCCAGGGAGCTTTGGTTGTAAAGTTGTAAACAGAGATAGAAGACAGTGAGCTCTGGAGTCTGGACATAGATTTGGGATCTACATATGGAGCCTTGCAGTCAATGCAGATGACAGTGAGCCTTTGAACAGAGCTTGGAAGGCACAACTAGTTGGAACAGACAAAACAGAGAGACAGAGACAGAGACAGAAGCAAAACAGGATTGATTTGGTTACAATGGTAATAACAGACTAGGGTACATGGACTTGGAGTGTCTACTTATATACTGTAGGGAGGCTGTGCAAGTTATCAGGAGGGCCTGATGAATGGTTATCAAGTACGGGAGGCACCCGGAAGGCAGGATAACTGGTAATCACATGTACATCAGCAAAAATGGTCTGGGCCTGGGATAGCCTATAGGTTAGACTAATATGACCTGGGCAACATGGACAACCTGGGTGACTTAGGCCACCTAGGAATTTTCCCAAATCCTGATATTACTTGAGGGTGACTTAGGCTACCTAGGAATTTGCCCAAATCCTGATATCACCAGAGGGAGCCTCATTGCAGCCTGAGCACAACCTGAGCACAACCTGAGTACAACCTGAGGGAACCTGGGGCAGCCTGAGGAAGCCTGAGGAAGCCTGGGACAGCCTGGGATGGCCTGAGATTTATCTTGAACTACGATTACAAGCTAAATAGCTTCAATGAACTACTATATTGAATTATAATGTGTATAAATATCATTACAGGGCTTTTTTTTAGCCTGCGGAATACAAAAATTTTAAAAAAATTGAGCAACTACTTTGGCATAAGTGGCCAAGCAGCACCAGCGGCCTCATAGTATTCCTCATCATGCCTCAATGCTATTCAGATGATCTGAAAGCTAGAATTGCTGTCCTATTCCTGGAGCATAATCTTGATGTTCCTATGATTTGCAAATACCTTGGCATAAGGAAGACTCTCGTCTACAATGCGTCTACAATGTAGGGTTTGCCCGAAGGGCGAACCCTAACATCAGAGAGCTAGTCTGGCATCGCCAAACATACTAGGTTAGCGGTTAGGGGTTGGGGTTAGGGTTAGGGGCTGCCACCTATCAAAATAAGCGCAAACGAGGCTTTAGAGTGCCCGCCAATGACTTCCCGGCCCGGGGGACCCCCCGAGCGCAGCAAGGGAGGGGAGGGAAGCAGAGGCGGGCCCAAAGTTTGCGTGCCGAATCATATATATAAGGTAATTATTGATGCTACTTACAGTTGTAATTAATTTGTAGACATAAGCATTACTTACAATTGTAATACATTTTGTATACAATATTTGTGTCCTGGGCTCTGCTCAGGTCACCTTGTGCACTGGAACTGACTGACACCACCCACCTCCTGCCTTCAGTCATGTGCACCAATTCCATTTGTAAACACACATTCCCTCATGAGAATCTGAGTGTCTCATCCCCACTGATGCTTTGGATTCAAGTGTTTGCAGCTCCTCCATAGTAAGAACTGCTTTTCTAATTCCCGGATCTAGCACCCAAGTCAGATTGCTGTTGAAATCACAGATATGCAGCAATGTGTTCTGGACACATCACATGGCATACAGTGACTCCCTGAGGCACTAAACCACCTAGTAATGACCCTGCTGGGATTTGAACTCAGGCTCTTTTGTATCTAGACCAAGGGTGTTAACCAGTACACCACAGGACCTTAGTTCTCTGAGTGTTATCATTCCAACAATATGTTGGAAATACCTGGCCGCTGGTTGTCCGGCCACTCCACACATTGCATATACCTCCTATTCCTTCAGTATATAATACACATAGTTACACTTGATCAATTAATCTTGCTTCCCTTTTCCCCCCATCGATTCCCTCCCCATTGAGTCTTACCGGGGTTGTACTGACCGTGCCATCTTGTTATCTAACAGATTATGAGACTGGGCCTCTAGAGCTACCACCTGTCACTGTTGTTGCTCACTCTCTGCTTACCCCAATTTGTTGCTGCCACTGGGGCTGAAGCCAGTACTCGTTACCGTTGCATCGACTGCAACTGGGGCCGAAGCCAGTACCTGCCCAAGTGAGGCCAAAGTCACATATCATTGATTACCGAACCAAACCTGATCTGCCGTACTTGAAAGCAGTGTCTACGCCGTATCTGAAAGCACCCATGTCCCCAATTTGCTGGTTCCAGTGGGAGCCCTGTTTGACCATACCACTGTCGTTATTTGTTCACCATGTCCAACTCTCGCACAATTGTTTTGAAGGATAATCAGGGAGAAGACCTGTTTGGGAATTGGTTGATCCAGAGAAGAGCCGAGTTGAGAAGGAAAGAAGTTCTTGGGTTTATTGAGAGGTGGACCAAGGAAAGTGCTGGACTAGATGTTGTTATCTTATTTTTTGTTTATTACTTTTGCCTTTCAGTTATGATTGCTACGCAACCGTACAATTGGGAGTGTTGGAAATACCTGGCCGCTGGTTGTCCGGCCGCTGTTAGATAACGCAATAGCTAGTCCTTGCTTTTTTGGCACTAAGCACCCAAAAGGTCAAGGAAGATTGGTTGTGAAACTGTAACATGTAGTGAAATAGAACATAGGATTCAGGCTAGCATTGGTTGAAAACCTATAGCATGTACTGAGATAAAAAATAGGATGCAGGTTAGCATGGGCTGCAAACTGTAACATGTACTGAACAAAATGTAGCATGTACTGAGAGCAGGGTCATGGGCTAGGAACAAACATAAGATGTGACCAAACATGGGCTGAGAATGGATATCATGTACTAAGGCTACACATAGGATGTGAAACACCAGCAGACCCTTGACTGGTGATGCAGGCTTAACATATATTGGAGATGTACAACATCTATTGAACAGAGACATGGGCTGCAGAGTAACATGGACAATGAATGTGTAACATGTACTGAGGTCAGACATAGGAGACAAGTTAACATAGGCTGAATACACCTAACATGGATTGGAAGACTCATGTATGGGGATCTAGAAGCTTCAAAAAGCACATACTGCAGAGGAGAAACATGTGCTTTCATGTGCTAAACATGCTTTGGGATCATGAAAATCATGTACTTCAGGGTCAAAAACTATGTACTTTAGTGTTAAAAAATATGTACTTTAAGGTCCATGACATGTGTTGTAAAATAATTTTTACCCACTATTATTGCCATAGATTAACCCAGAAAAACGCACACCGCATCAACGAACCAAATAATATAGTAAAATATCACCACTTGTACTACCAATATCTTATAATGCCAAACCGATATTGAATAAACGCTATAAGGAGACGGATCATTCGCTGCGAACGTCATCACAAATTCCACTGCCAGTAGTATCACCAAGTACAAGGGATAGCGAAGACGGAGAAAGGAAGCAGGTCCTGAGGAAACGATATCGCTGGATGAAGATCCGGATTCGGCGGAACTTTGACGTGTCGCTCTGGAGGGAGCTAATGAAAAGGAGGCAAGTCCTGCGGGAACGATAGCGTTGGATAAAGATCTAGCTACCTGGGTGGAACCTTGACTGGATGGTGCAAATACAGGGCCCGATTCCTGCGAGCAAAAGGCATAGCGAGAAAACGATCAGACGAACGGGCAGTGCTACCTTGAACTGTAGCGTCAGTTGTGCCAGCCATGGTGGGCGACGCGTGATTGCTAAGAGACAAAGAGGGATCATCACGGGCAGAAAGAACTAGACTTCGATTGCGGATGGGAAGCGCTATCAGAGAGTGCTCATAGGACTGAGCAGCAACGATTGGAGCCGTGAAACGACTGGGAACGACAACATTGCTGGTGATAGCCACAGTGGTCACTGTGAGCCTGGCAGAGGAGATACGGGGTGATGGATCCCTGAGTGCTACCGTTGTGATGGTTAGCTCCGTACCCATGGGAGTTGAGTGAGTGGTTGAAGAAGATTCCACGTCTAGGTTTGGCAAAGAGGGGATCTTTGTTAAACGGTCAAGATGGTCGAAATTTGGCCGTGCAGTCACTGGAGCCAGAATCTCCAACGATTGGGCCGACGAGGAACATCCGTAAGGAACCAACGCATGATTGTTGTCTTGAATAGCATCTTCATCACAGCCAGAGGAGACAACAAAAACTGACGAAGAAGCAGTCGGAACCATGTAGGGAAGAAGTACGACGGGCAGGTCTTGTTGCGCAGTTACCAACACGCTCGTTAGGGAAGCTTGAACCGTGTTCTCCTCGCGGACAGGAGATTACGAGTAGGAGGGACCGGCCAAAAAGCTCGTTGGCTGAATAAGAAAATATATCAGATTAGAAGAGCAGGAAGAGAAAGGCATGTTACAAACCAAAGACTTTTCAAGTTCCGAAGCACCAACCATTTCGAAGTCCTCTTCGGAGCTATCTTGAGCAGCAAGAGGGAGAGTAGCAGCGCATTCGTCGACTGTCATATATATTGCACTTGGTCAATGTAATGTTCGATAGGTAATGTTAGAAAAACAACGCACCAAGGAAAAAGTCCGATGATTAGGATGAGGCACTGTGGAGACTACGTTTAGATACGATGCATGAGGGACATAAGATGCAACACATACTTGGGTATCCTGTGGCTGAAGTGATTGACCGTCCATCTGACCTTAACAGCCAAAAACAAACTTTAAAAGGCGAATTCTGGCAAGAGACAAGAAGGAAAACGAACTAGCTTCACACGAGAGACATGCCTTTTCTCGAAGGACCGCATAGTTAGATCAGAGCGACTAGTTCTTCTACGGCTCGAGAGCGAGAGTTTCCAGTTCTCTTTTTCCTAGAAGCACCGGATGCCATGTTTTCTGTGTAAAAGGCCAACTTTGTTGTGAACTAGAAGCGAGACCAGAAGAACAAGATGCGAACCTTTCCCCGTGGTTGCCGCGACGGCGTCCAATAAGCCAAGTCTCACAAACTTACATTGCTCAAAATCCATTTGTTGACCAAATTGGAGGAACAGGGGTCCATTCCCAAACAAAATGAGAAACAGTACAAATAACAGGAACTATGATGAAGAAAGAGAACTATAACAAAGGATGAGACTATAACGAGTGAGTATGAATAAGGTAATGGAACTATGATGAAGAAAACTATCAAGAACCTCTAATCAAACTAGAGATGAATGCGAAGTACACAGCTCACGAGAGGCTCTTGATGCTAGGATGTGAGCCGGAAGAGGAAACAGATTGGTCTTATCCTGAGGCAACCATTGTCTCCCCGCCGTAATCCGAACCATCTGTCGACAGCATCAGATCAGGCTGCATGCAAGGATCACTGAAATGAACCATACCATTTTCAATCTCCACTTCCTCAGACCCGGCTGGTATTTCATCATATGCGAAACCAAAGATGATACGATAGAGTTGTTTCATGCGTCTCACTATCGCTGTTTCGCCTTTGTCGGAGAGGTGAGTAAGGATACTTGACAACTCTCTTGTGGTAACCTTGCGGGAGGAATGACTTCGCCAATGGACGATCTTTATGTACTGCAACCAAAATTCCAGCCGATTCAATAAGTGAAAAGTGAAAAAAGCACGTACTTCTTGATAGATGAACTCAATATCATCCTTGGTGATGAGCTGACCTGGGAGGGATTCAGCTTGCAGCTGGTTTACTACATTAATCACCGGCAGCCTAGAGTTATAGTTGTAGGTTCTTTCGAATTGTCTTCTTTCCTCCGATTTTTGCACAGACCAGGCCCTTTTCTTCTCCAATCTTTCAACTATCTTTCTGCCCACTTCCTCCAGTTTCTCATTTGACGTGCGACTTTGGGTGCGTTCCCATGCGAGTTCCATCTCCCTCTTCTTCACCTCTTTGACGGACAACCATCTTTCTTCGAGTGAGGCCCAGAATATGTGATTGGACGCCACTCGAACCAGAATGTTGAAAATTATCGATTCAAGGCGAGGGAGAGAAATGGCCGTGAGCAATTTGAGCACTTCTACTTCGCCCTTCAGCTCTTCTACTTCGCCCTTCAGCTCTCCTACTTCGCCCGTCAGGTTTTCAATCTGCTGACGCTGTGTGTCCCTGTCTTTTTCAAGGGACTCGACAGCCTTTTGTAGTGATGCAAGGAGTTTGTCGGACATGGTGGTTGAAAGGAAGAACGGAACGGTAAAGGAAGAACGGTATCGATTAGTGATAAATCAGTGATTACAAGTTGAATCTTCTCGATTTTCCCCACGGCCTATTCTGAGAGGTCGAGCAGTTCGAGTGCATTTTTCGAGCTTCGATATTGGTGTTAGAGTAAAAAGACAGTTGTTCGTTCTCAATTCTTGCAAGATCACTCTGAAACGACGGATTACTGGTTTGGCACTGTTCTGGTTTCACAGATTCTCGTTCGGGAGTCTTGGGTATTTCGAGCATATTTTCGCGTGAAAGCGTTGGCTCTGGCTCATTAGGTTTGGTTCTGCGATCTTGGGTTTCCTCGTTTTTTCGTGTTCAGGGAGTAAATTCTCGCGCAAAAGCGTTAATTGACTTCTTGTGTTCACACAGTACTTTTGCGCGCGAAAGCGTTCAGTAATTTGGTTGAAAGGTTCTGCAATTGTTTCTGGGGACTAACAAGTCCCTGTTCGGGCTCAAGGCGTTGTGTTAGCGTGGGACATGGAAATTCCAGTCTCTCGTTTCCTGACGCAGACGGTTCATCGCTTGGTGTTCTTCACATGGGTCCGCGACCTGCTTCTCCTCATAGTTGGAACTCTGGTCCTCGTTCGC